AACCCAACCACTTCTACTGCGCCGCCGATGTGCACGAGACCTTCGCGTCCTACCCGGCCGCGTGCGTGCCGCTCCAGTACCAGATCTGCGCCGCCGACTACTGGATCGCACAGCTGGCGGGCGCCGCCGTCGGTGCCCTCCCCCGCGCCCGCCCGCCCCGCCCGCCTCGGGACGACCGACCTTGTGCCGGCGGCGTGCAGGCACGCTGCTTGTGCTCGGGCTGCTGGTCTTCTGCGCCAAGAAGGCGCGCGACAACTGCATCCGCAAGCGCTCGAGATGTGTTGTGATGCGGGACGTCGCCCTGCTCCTCGCGCTCTTGCGCGCGGCGCCGGCCGCCGGCAAGGGCCTGCATGAACACGACGGCGGCGCGGGCGGGCGCGACGGGCGGCGGACCAAGCCGTGGAGGGCGTCGGAGGCGTGCGTCGCGACGGGCGGCGCCGCGCCGTCGGTGGCCATCATCGGTGCCGGCGGCAACATTGGCTCGCGGCTGCACGAGGTGGCCTCGGCCAACCCTCCCCCTCCTCCTCACTCACTCCCCTTGGTCCTACCCTCCCTTCTCACCGTCCCTTGGTGACCGGTGGCAGGTGCTCTCGGCCAACTGCGGCTGGAAGGTCACGGGTTATGACCGCGAGCCGCGGCTGAGCCCGCCGCGCGCCAAGTACCCGATCACGCCGATGAGCGCGGCAAGCATCCCAGCGGCGGAGCTGGCGGCGTACGACGCGGTCGTCTACCTCGGCGGGCTGACCGGCCGGGCGGCGTGCGACCGGCACACGCGCGAACAGACCTTGTCGGAGAACGTCGACGACCCGCTCGCGCTCGCGTCGCGCATGGGCCCCTCCCAGCTGCTGGTCTTCGCCTCCACCTCCGCCATCACCGAAGGCTCCGGCCAGCGGAGCGCGCGAGAGGACACGGCGGTGCGCACCGAGCTGCTCGACTCGTACTCATCGTCGATGCACCAGCGCGAGGCCGCCATGCGACAGCTCGCCGCCAGCAAGCCCGCCGGCGCACCGCAGCTCGTCGGGCTGCGCTTCGGCACCGTCATCGGCGTCTCACCCGGGCAGCGCGTCGACCTGGGCCCGCCGGCCATGCTCAAGTCGGCGTACACGACGGGCGTCCTCAAGGTGGCTCACCCCGAGACGTCACGCGCCTTCCTGTGGCTGGAGGACCTGTGCCGCGGCATCTCGCGCACCATCGAGCTGCGGCGAGGCGGCGCCGCGATAGCGCCGCCGGCGACGGCCCATCACAGCAAGCGTTCGGCGCCGTCGTCGTCTTCGATGGCGCCCGCCGCGCCACCGCCGTTTGCCATCTACCATCTG